CCCCCGCCTACCCCTTCAGCCCTTTTCAAAGGCCCTCCACCTCCAGCACCACCTCCACTTCCGTCCTCTACTTCAAATAGGCAAACTCCGTTGGCACCTCCACCGCCACCGCCTCCACCTCCATCCTCTACGTCAAAAAGGCCAACTTCGCTGGCACCTCCACCACCACCACCTCCACCTCCATCCTCTACGTCAAATAGGCCAACTCCGTTGGCACCTCCACCTCCATCTTCTTCATCAAATAGGCCAACTCCGTTGGCACCGCCACCGCCACCACCTCCACCGTCAAGCAATTCTACAAGGCCACCTGCACCTCCTCCACCTCCTTTGGGAGTTCCTAGGCAAGGTTCCACTCCACCAGCACCTCCACCAGCACCAAAGGCTCCTAATGCTCCACCACCCCCTAGGCGGGGTTTGACACCCACTCCACCTCCCCCGCCTGGTGGAAAGGGCCTTAATGTGCCAGCGCCACCACCTCCATCTACTGGACGTGTAAGAGCCTCTGTAGGTTCAACTGCTCTAGGGAAAGGGCGAGGTACAGGAGGTACTTCAATTCCTCCTAAAAAAGCTTCATTGAAGCCCTTACATTGGTCGAAAGTTACACGGGCTATGCAAGGGAGTTTATGGGCTGATACGCAAAACAAGGAAAATACTTCCAGGTATGAATATTCTATTTTTGGGGATGAAAAATTACAATGAGAACTTTCTGTGTCATTTCAAGTTAATATTCAGAGCTAAGTTGTTTTGCTATTTCTTGTGTCTCGTGAAACCCCTTTACAGGTTGTCATAAGCACTATCATTCTCATGGTTTCAACTTCTAATGCTTAATAGATTGCAGATATACTAGTTCTGAACACTTTGAGCTTAACCTAGTTTGTGTTGAGTTCTGCAATTTTTGTTTGTTATCTGTCTGTTATGGGTAGTTCTGATAAGATTTTATTAATGTACATGACAGAGCACCTGAAATTGATATTACGGAGCTTGAAAATTTGTTTTCAGTGGCTTCAGCTACTGATGGCACTAGCAAAGGTGGAGGCCGACGTGGTTCAAAAATCAACAAACCAGAAAAAGTGCAATTGGCAAGTTATATATGCTTTATCTTGTTTCCAGTCTCTACAACTGTTATTCTCCAGTAGGCATTATCTAGCAAGTCTTTCATGTAGTAAAGTGAGTGTTGTAGGATGAATGTATCTCCTTCCTTTACTAGTTTAACAAAACAATTAATATTAGATAGGTTTTAAAGAGGGCTTTTTGTGGTAACTTGTGGCTAACAAGGTGGAAGAAAAGAAGTGGACAGAAAGGCTTAAATGGGTTTAACATAGGTGACGTTTTGAAACAAGCATGCCCATATAGAGAAGAACTTGTGTCTTTTCAACCTGGATGTGGGTGATTACATAAACTTTCGGTGGAAAAGTCCTACTTTCTCCATCCTGTATATAACACCATTTCTGTTTCATGTAAGTTAAGATAATTATCTTTGACTGGAGGGATATCCTAGGGTAAGATCCTTCATCTCCAACCATAAGGTTGGGGGTTTGATTAACCAAGGGATAAAGGGGGAAACCATTCTTGGGCCTCCTAGGCAGAGGGTTTAGTGGATGGGGTCAATCATATAAAAAAAATAATGGTTGCCTTGAAAAATTCTTAAAGGTTGTGTTAATACTTTGAGATGTAAATTCATGTAACAGAGTAATTTTATTAGGCTGCGATACATGTCTAGATCTAATGAAAGAGTTGCGGAGGCTGTGCTCATGATGGGCACTGTGTCCCATGGGGATGGCCATTGACCACGAATGAATTGCAGTTCACTTGCTTCTAAATTTATCTGTTAGTGCTAAATTGGGAAAGATATAGAACACTTCTACAGAAAGAAACTATTAGTTTTCAAAGCTTTCACTATACAATATGAGATCACTATGGACTAGTTGGTGAACAGTCTATTGGTGTTGGCTTCTTTTTCTTCCTGAGGTATTGGAGGCATATTTTACAGAACTCCCATTATTTATACTGAAAGACTGGAAGTGTTACATTTTGGTCTAACTGTTAAAAGATCGGGATGATTTCTTAACATATGCTTTTGCCAGATTGATTTGCGCAGGGCATACAACTGTGAAATCATGCTTACAAAAATCAAGATTCCCCTGCCTGATATGCTTGTGAGTTCTTTTTGTGTCTTCTTGTTTCTACTATCAGCTTCAATACTTTTATCTATTGCACTAATTTATGTCTTCTAGCCAACAGGTGGCTCTTTTGATAATAGCCTTTTATTGTTTATCAGCTGAAACTATTAGATTATGTGATCTTTACTTGGGCTTTAGGACAATCAGAGATTTTAGAAATTGAGCTGCTTATAATTTAAAAAGTAACACAAACTAAACAGCCATTAAAATTAATGACTTCCGACATGTTTATCAATTGAAATCAAGTAACAAATAACATATACAATTGAATGCATATGTTGTATGACTTTATTTTCAAAAAGATTACAATTTGTATTATAGGTTTTTCAATCCCTTTGTACATTTGCTAAAACTATAGAAGTATGTATCTGATGAATCAAATAGATATGCAAAATTATTGAATCAGCTTAATGAGTTTGACTAAAAGTCAATTCTCAACAAAAAAAAAGAAGGAAAAGATTGTTGTATCTTGTATGTATTGAAGTCTACATGCTTTAATCTTTTTACTTGATCAAAAAGATTATATTATGTATTAAACTCTAAATTGAAGTATCTTCATTTCTGCTTAATAAAAGTACAATATATGGATTAACTATCTATATTATTTCTCAACAAAGGAATGAAGAACGTACAGATCGGTTAACTACACATAACATTTAGGTCATACTCAGAGGAGTTTGGTAGTTTGACTATCTTTATGATAGCCGTTAACCTATCACAGTTCTCCTTGTAATTCAGTTTCGAGTTAGTTATGCTTTTCTCATATTTGTGGAGTTTAATGAGCACTTTAGAGTGTGGCCAAGTGGTTTTTCTAGTAGCGACCAAAACAAAGACTAGGTGGTTTTCCTCATCTGATTGCATTTTGGAGGGCATAGTTCCCCGTACCTATGTTGGTAGGAGGTGTCAAGTACCCTATAAATTAGTCAAGATACGTGCACAAGTAGGATCGCACACTATCATTATTTGAAATATTTTTTAGCCGGTGTTCAATGAAATGAATAAGGAGACCTTTCTGTTGTACAAGGAGAAAATGAGCTTTGTATGGAAGTAGAAGTTCTTGTAAAAAGAGCTAGCTGTAGAACTATTAATCCAAAAGACATTTTTATTCTTTATATTTTTTATAATTTTATTGAGTTGAAAAGATCTTGTAATTTCACCGAACTTGAAGAGATCAAAATTAAACTCTTATGGATATTTTTCTGTTGAAATTCAAAGGAATCATGATACAAATTGTATAAAATATTCTATCCTTTGGCTTTGTGGTCAAAATCATGTTTCATAATGCACAGTATCAATATGCTGATTCATGCATGTGTTCAATAAGTGTAATGACTAATGAGCATTTCTTTAGGATGCTCATGCATGGTTTTTTTGGAAGTTCTTTTTTCTTTATTTTGAGTTTTAATGGAGGTACATTGAAATGAATGAAATATTTGCCATGGATTTCTTTTTACTAATATTATAACAATAGCTGCACCTCAGTTCCAAACAAGTTGGGGTCCGCTATATGAATACTCACGGCCAGTATTATGCAAATAAAATTTCTTTTTACAAAGGAAAATTTACCCTGGATTTCTTACAAATTATATTTGTATGCATGTCTTACAGAATGCTATTTTGGCTTTGGATTCATCAGCTCTGGACATTGATCAGGTTGAAAATCTGATAAAATTTTGCCCAACAAAAGAAGAAATGGAGACACTGAGGGTATAATCTCTTTCTCATCCTACAGTGCTTGCCTATCATGGCAAAGTTTAAGTTACAATAATATTCTTATAATGTGTGTCTAGTCATTTATTTTGAGTTCACAAGTAATATTAGAGATGTGTTCTAAAGTTTGCTTCGATTCTTCTTTTAACTTTTGTTGTTTAGAGAAAATACACCATATTGAAGTTTTTTGCCAATAGTATTTGGAAACAAGAGTCAAAACCTTCACATTTTGCAATTGTATTTAACGTTAGAATACTAGTTAAGTGAGTCATAGGAACAGCAGTAGCCTATAATTTTGTTGATGTGCCATTTGTTGTAAGTAGCTGTGCAGATTGATGCCCATAATTCGATGACCCATTTGGCTGTTTCATGCTTATACAGTATGTACTTGCATCTATGCTGTGCGTGCATGCTCATGTGTCTGTTTCAATATCTAATCATGCAGATACCTATTTCTGATGACTTCCTTTCCTGGTGGGTGTGGATGTGTATAAACATAGGCATATATCATAGTCTTTTGTGTATGTAGATCCAGCTGCTTGATTTCCCCCTCTCTTTGTGAACTTAGTTGTGCTAGTTTCTTGACAGTCTATACTTGCCATTTGAAATTTAATTGTTATTTTTGATTTCACAATTTGATCTTACTGGTTATGTTCTATTTTCCAGAACTATAATGGGGACAAGGGGATGCTTGGAAAGTGTGAGCAGGTCTTCTCCAATTTGACCATATATGTGGGGAAGTACAAATTTCTCTATCCTTTAAGTTATAAGTAATTAACCGGATTAGTAATACCTGTTTCAGTTTTTCCTGGAGCTGATGAAGGTCCCACGAGTTGAGTCCAAGTTACGAGTGTTTTCATTTACTATCACTTTCTCTAATCAGGTATTTGCTCTTGTACTTGTTAGTGATCTAATGTCTATGGATTCTGCCATTAATTTTCTGTTGACTATAATATGTTGACTTGTTCAGGTGAAAGACTTGAGAAGTAACCTGAGTACAATTAATGATGCTACTAGAGAGGTATTTTTAATACCTTATGAATTTTGATTTGGCACATTCCGATTTAACTAGCTTCTAACTGTATTTCCTGGTCGAGTAGGTGAAAGAATCTGCCAAATTACGTCAGATAATGCAGACCATTCTAACATTGGGAAATGCACTGAATCAGGGTACAGCACGAGGTACAGTTTTCTAAGATCTAAATCTCTACAAGAAAACAATCAGTTGTTGGGTGGAGGCACTGTGACTAACATCTTTGTTTCCTAATTACATTGCAGGATCTGCTGTAGGGTTCAAGTTGGACAGTCTTCTTAAGCTTTCTGACACTCGTGCTAGAAACAACAAAATGACCTTGATGCATTATCTGTGCAAGGTAGAATTACTGCATTATGATGCCTTTCTGTTTTTACCTTTATGTACTAGTTTTGATCAATTAGCTCTGAATTGGGAAGAATCGAAGGTGACTTAAGCGTAAGTTGAATCAGATTAGTTTTGGTTCAATGATGATTGTTGAGTAGCTCATGATTGGATTGAAAAGTGCCAAGTTTATTTGAGGTCTATGTCATAACCCATCTAAAACTGCCACAGTTCTGCTCATGATACAAGGGCCATAAGGTAGCCATGAAGGGGGTTACTTTAGAGGAGGCGAGCGCTTTCAAGGTTTCAACACTCAAAGTCAAATGATTCTTTGTTTAAGTTTTAATAAGAAAGTTAAAGAAATTGGGGAATCGTTCCATGTTAGGCATGGCTGGTAGGCGTGGTAGTTTTGGCACAAGAGGATGCTACGAAGATGAAGCATGCATGAGGTATGGTGAAGAAGTACTAGTGGGAGCCATAGTGTACAAGCACGGTTCACAAACATAAGTGTGGCATGATGCGCAACAAAGCCATGGACCAGGCTAACAGAGAGGAGGCAAGGAATTTCAAGGTTTTGAAATTCAAGGTCAAACGATTCGTTGTCTTAGTAGTAACGGAAAGGAAATTAGGAACCGTTTCATGGAGGCATGGCTGGTATGGGTGATAGTGTTAGCACAAGAGTATGGTCTGATGATGTAGCATGCACAAGGCGTGGTGAAGCACAAGTGGGAGCCATAGTGCACAAGCAAGGCTCACCACATAAGTATGGCATGGTTCTACACAAAATCAAGGAAGATGCGTGAGGTTTTAGAATGCTTGGTAGTACACTTAGTAGTTCAGGAATTACTAGAACTATTGGTGGGTTGATTGATCCATATCATTTACAAAGGAGAGATTACTCCAGCAAAAGAGGTTAAGCATAGCTAAATGCCACACCTGCATCTAATTCATACTTTGTCTAAGTGTAGTGCCTATCATTGGGGATTGTTGGCTAAGTGCTGCACTTGACGCTAGTACGACAGTAGGTCGGTGATAGCTAGATCCAGTATCAGCTCCAATACTCTAAAATGAAATAGAAGATCAAACATGAAATTAGGCATACAAGACTATCTAAATAAAAATTAAAAATTTCAAGCTTAGTATCTTGCCAAATGAAACAATTGGAAATAAAATACACACAAAAAATCTATTAAATCTCCCAAAGGAAAGTCCAAGTGTGTATAGGTGCTTCTGTTGAGCACTCAAACAAGAAGGCGGCGTCAAGGCGGTGTAGCAGATTTTCGAGAGAAGGATTTATTCATTATTAAGGAGACCAAATTGCAATAAGAGAACTCAAGGAGAGGAAAGTCAGCTCTTAAAGATTATTATAAAAAAAAAAAGCTCTTAAAGATGAAAATCTGAAAACTAATCCATCTTATATCGTTCACTTTATTTTCAACATTTTTCCAGTTGCATTGTTCTTTATTTTGTTCTACTTCTCTCTTCTCTTATATTGAAGTGCCTAAGGTTCATTTTCTTAAATTGTATCTCCAAATCCATCCCTGTTCATTATTTCGGGGCGTCAAGTATTTATGAGCCTATCAGCTGTGAAGTACGCTCAAGTGGGAATAGGCTAAAAGGAAGGTTATATGATGTTTATATCTTAAAATTATCGCTCCCACTGGTTGACTGGTGCAAATAGATTGACTGCCGGAAATGTTCAAGTTATTTCATCTGCACAGGCTTATACAATAGTGCGAGAGATATTACCGGATACTCCGTAAGTTATAAACCACTTCAAATTTTGTTTTAGAGAAGAGATAGAGGTATCCTCGCTCACAGATTTGAATTGAAAAAGCAAGCCCAGGTTCTTTTTAGCTAGACTCTATAGTCTGGTCCCTGTCTTTGTTAAGGTTTGATTGTTATCTAAGTTTCATTTTGGCCGCCTAAGGATAAATTTGATAAAGTCCTTTTATTTGGACAAATTTTTGATCAATGAGAAGATAGCCTTCCATATATTTCGATATGGATTCCTAAGGTACTGAGAAAGGTGGGTTTTTCCACTTGATTAGCAACAAGAGGGGTGATCTTGATGGATGATAATAGAATGAAGAGGAGAATTACTTATGTTGGGTGGTGTTTTATGTGTAAGGCATCGGGTGAAGACGCGAATCGTCTTCTAGATTGTGCGACAACTTCTCAGTTATGGTGGGAAATGTGGTGTTCGTTTGGTACATTTGGGTGATGCCCGTCACTGTATAAGTAATGATGCTCAACTGAAATGGTGGAAGATGAAGGAGGAGACACAAGGCGTGGAAGGTATGCTCCACTTGCAATTATGTGGGTTTTGTGGAGAGTGAGAATTAGGAGAGTTTTTGAAAGGATAGAGTGTAATTTGCACAGTTAAGGAATAACATCTTGTCCCTTATTGCTTTTTGGTGCACCCATGAGGTATTGTAGAAGGTTGAGTGTCGTTTGTAGAGAACTATATGTTTTTGTATATATTTTCTACTTTCAGTATACTACGTGTATGCCGTTCTTTTGCCAACTATCAATAAACTATAGCTGGGTTGACCAGCCTTTAGTCTTTACTCTTCTGCATATATGTGTTTGCACTTTCCAATGTGATGCCAAATATGTAAATTCGTTGTTTTGTCAGCTCCTTGCTGAGAAAATGCCAGAGTTGCTTGATTTTGACAAGGATCTTCTTCACTTGGAAGCTGCTTCTAAGGTACCCTTGCTATTTATTATGGTCTTCATTTGAAGTACTACTGGTATAATGGTGAACTGAAATGTTTGTTTACGTCATATTATATGGTTAGATTCAACTGAAGTCTTTGGCTGAAGAAATGCAAGCAGTGAGTAAAGGTCTTGAGAAAGTTGAACAAGAACTTACTGCATCCGACAATGATGGTACAATATCTTCGGGATTTCAGAAGGTGAGAAAAGAGAACGGTAACATGTGAATTATTCCTACTTACCAAATGAGTTAGCTCATTGCTTGTACTTCCAAGATAATGTTTCTTTTTAGTTTTAAATTTTGAAGGTCATATGATAATGTACTTTAATACACAATAGAGTGTATAACTAGCATTAGTTATACAGAGTATAGAAAAGAGTACCAAACAAGGTACTAGCAATACACAAGGTTAATGCATGCATTATTTTTCTTAATACACTCTACTAAACGATCCCTAAATGTATTATCAAATTCTCGAGATTTTCTTACGCCAAATATGAAATGAATGGCATTGTGCGGATTCCGCTTTCCCCAGGTTTCCTTCATTATACATTACAAGGATCCCTATTTACTATTAAAAAGCTTTATTCTAGATAGTTTGAGAAGACAAAGTAAGGAAGCAGTGTACCGCTGTTTTAGAAGAGTGATAGGTGTCCCCAATGGATGACATTTGTGTTCTTAACAAAATCAAGTGAAAAAGGCTTGCGCTGGGAAGACTCCCAATTTGGTTTTGTGTTGGACATGGTTTTAGAGTGGAGTCTGGTGATGCAGTCAAACTTGATTGCGATGTCTTCGATTTGGTGTACACATAATTTTGTTAAACATCTGAAATATGCGGTTAGTGACTTGTGCATTCCTTCTCAGGTGTTAAAGAATTTCCTTGATACTGCTGAGGCTGAAGTCAAGTCTCTCACTACTCTTTATATTGAAGTGGTGAGTTTCTTGCATCCATTATGTCATATTTTAAATCCTCCTGGATGTCTAAGCCATGCCAAGTTTGCTGATTGTTTTTCTATCTTGTAAATCTGCAGGGAAGGAGTGCAGACTCCCTATCCCTATATTTTGGCGAGGATCCAGCTCGATGCCCCTTTGAGCAAGGTTAGAGATACATATGTTTTAATTTTTCTTGCTGTATTATCACTTATCAGTCATCTGGTAAGATTTCTGGAAAAGAAAAAACTACAGTCGTTTGGCTGTTTAACAAACACTCTTGGTAATATAGCTATTCCAGTAGCGTTTATCAGTGATACAATCTTTTTAGTTGTCTGTCTTTATGTGAAGATTATGGGATGCAACATTTATGGCCTTTGTAGCTGTTGTTGAGTGCATATTGCCATTGGCTAGATTTCTCGAATTACATTTGTCCTTAAGATCTTGTTTTAACCGGTGTGAAAATTGCTTTAACAGATTTTTCCTCACCAACTCTTTAACCGGGCATTTCTTTAAATCTCGTTTTGATGTTTGTGACAAACTTTGTCAGTCTTCATTTCCCTTCTTTCTGGATGCAGTGACACAGATTTTGGTGGTGTTCATGAAGATGTTTAAAAAATCACGCGATGAGAATGAACAAGCAGCTGATGCTGAAAAGAAGAAACTGGAGAAGGAAGCTTTGAAGGAACAAGTGGCTGCTAGTTCTTCTGGGAAGAAAGGAGTTGGTGATGGTGATAGAGTAAAACTGAATTTTTTAAATCAGTTACATGCTGTGTGATCAGTTCAAATCGTCCGAAGCTTATAGTACTCCATAAACTGCCAGAATCAGTCAAACTTTCTTGATGATAGCAGCAGAGCCTCGGAAGGCTCTGCTCATATGCCACTGTACTTCAGTGTACGATTTAAGTTTTATAGTTAGTTATATCTGTACATAATTACCATAGTTAAATTGGCATTATTTTTTTGCCATTTTAGAATCGCGCACAATTGCCATTGTTACTACATTTTTGTGTCCGAATGTGGTAAAAACTGAGACCTTAAGCATAGAAAGGGTTTCCAAGTTGTACATATTGAAGTTCCATATTGTACAAGAGAAATTCAAGATAAACTTATCTGGAGTGGCAGATTTGTGTACCTATGTAATTTTTTTTTAAATTGCAGATTCTATTTAATAGCAATAGAAGTTTTACTCTTAATTATTATCTCCATGTTGGACACCTTTACTATGGACATCTATTGTTTGCTTCTTTTGTTCTATTTGGAAATGACAGACCATCCAATATGTAACTTTTCCACATTATTTGCTTATGAATTGAATAATGACTTAAGAGAGCACATTGAACTATAACCGTTCTGGAATATGGATCTTAACGCCATTCCTTGCTTATTGAACCTCTTCATCCTTCATCAATTTGTCATGGTATGTCAAATTTCATGAAAATTTCTTTGTTTAGCTTTTGCGCGCTATATTTGGTGTTTTTCCCATGTGCCACAATATTCATTCAGAAAGTGATAATCAACCACTGGTAGGCAATAATTACAACATTAACAAGTATAATACAAATGGATCTTACATTCAATGGCAGGAAGCAGTATGGGAGACTCACGAACAAAGAAACAATTACATATACATAATACTTTTAACTTATGTATAAACACATCCGGAATGAGAGACTTGAACCCTACAACTCTTTCTCTGTTAATACCAATATCCAGATTACGAATGTGAGCAATTTTATGCCAGTTTTCTCCGATTCCCTTCTCACACCGCTTTTCCATTTCTGGACATTCAATAATTCTCAAACTTGAGAGGTGCTGCAATCCCTCCGGTAAACATTTTAGCATCTTACAGTAATAAATAGAAAACTCTGTGAGTAAAGTTAAACCTTTCACCACTTCCTTGGGGAGACTCTCTAGTGCATAACAACATTTAATTACCAGACTCTTCAAATCATTGAGACAAGCCAGGCTGTTAGGCAGCTCTATGAGGTTTGCAAAGCTTTTGAACATCTCTTCTGGGAGCGAAGTAGCTTTGTTACGGCATAAGTTTCCAATTTCTTGACAGAAGAAAGGGTCGGAATAGCAAACAGAGGGCAACAGTAAATTTCCATCTTCTCAAGCACATGGAATTGGTCTTCACCTTCCATTCTCTGCAATCCTTTCAGATTACAAAGACCACCTATTTCGAAGTTTTCTTCAGAGATGGAAACCTTATTCTTGTGGGGAATCCAGAATCAACATCAATATCCACTTCTTCAACATACTCCGCAGACCCCCAGTCGTAACTCTAGACTTTCTAGACAAGGCAGATCACCAAAGGGTGGTAAGCACAAGCAGTTTTCACACCCTCTAATTACAATAGAGACGAGTGGTAAGCACGAGCAGTTTTCACACCCTCTAATTACAATAGAGACAACATTTTTCAAAACTGAGTGATGTATCCAGTCTGGAAGAAGGAATCCTCTGAAGCCAGTGATTGATAAAAATATTGGGGTGTGGTTTGAGGGCTTCAAACACTTTAACTTCTTCTGATTCATATCTATGTGGTCCGCTGTCCCAACTCATGATTAAAGAATGCAGATTCCCTTTTGCAGATATATTGGCTTGTTTTGTGTCCTTATCATTCTTCACCCTCTCAAGTTGTGTGATTGAAATTGAGCCGTAGAGATTCAGGTTTCGTAGTTCACCAAGTTGACAACCTTTCTTCCTTCCCACAGCAAAGCAATCTAGAGTCTTAAGGCATGTCAAAGATCCTATCCTTGGTGGCACACAAGCCAATGGACAGCCATCAAGTAAAAGATTTCGGAGACTACCAAATTTACTTGTTTGTTTTGGATAACAACAAAGTGAATGGCAATTATGTAGATCAAGAGTCTGCAGATTATGAAGCTTGCGTAACTGCTTTGGAAGACTACGAATTCTACTATTGCCAGAGAGGTCCAGGTATCTTAAATGTACTAGATCTCCAATGGAAGATGGTAACTGCTCAAGTTCTGTGTAACTTAGATTAAGCACTCTTAACGAGACAAATTTTCTCAAGAGCGAAGGAGAGTAAGAAGGACATTCTATGTGAGTAATCTCCTACATTTGTTTCGCAGATATTGCTGCTTGATGCGCTTGCTGAAAACAGAGATGTAGCCAAATCATGCATCTTGAAATAAGTTTTACCAGATTTAACTTCAACCTCTTGGAAAAAAGACCTCAAGCATAATTCTTTCCATACTTCATTACCCACATCCTCTGGCTCTAATCTTCCTCTCAATAAAATTTCAGTTGATTTTTCTCTCTTCTTCAGTTAGCTTTCCCTCATAGAAACTTCTAGAATAACTCCAGTTATGGAGATTTAACAAAGTAGTTCGCCGATAACAGCAATTGTTAGGCTAGTGTTGGCAATTAATTAGTCTTTTGAGTTCTCTACAAATGCTTCGTTACTAAGAGCTTTGCGATCAGATAGATAAATAAATTATTTTTCAAATTTCAATATTCAAATCTATTACAAATGAACTCAAATTTGAAATATAAGTCTCATGTATTGATTTGTCAAAATAACAAATAAAACAAACTCATTTAACGCCGTTTTAACTTTTTTTATGTATGTCTGCGAGTAGGA